ATCACAGAAGACAAATAAAACCAGCAAATCCTCACAACTGAAAAGCTGAAACAAACCAAAAACTTTAACATCCGTGGCAGAAAATGTTGTTTGCAGGCTAAATTAATCAGAAGTTAATAAAGCTTGACTCACAACTGTGTAACCTCGGTCAGTGTCCGACCGATTGGAATAACGCTGGGGTAGATGTTTACTGGCCGGAGGTACGAGAGAAAGTCTTTAAGCTGAAATTAGAGAAACTGAGTATCAATATATGTATTTAAAGTATGTAAACTAACCGTAGCAGAACTGATTCTCAATAAAAGCTTTTATTAGACTCATTTATGTAACAAACTACTACACTGTGAGTCACATAACTCTGGTTTAATCATTTAAATTAAAATAAATGAAGTACCTCTGAGTAGGAGGAGTGGAAACTGAAGCAGGCTCTGAAGGAACTTGCTCCTGTTCTGGAAAAACAACAAAAAGACACACATAAACTAATTCTTCTTTTTAAAAACAAGCACGTAAATAACGTAAAATAAACGTTTTAATAGTTTAGCCCTCTTACTTTATGATCACTTTGGTTTTCCTCATTCGCTCTCCGAACCACATGGTGGACGGTTTGATGGTAATGATGCGAAGAGGCGTCCCGTCAGAGGCTGTGCAGCCACACGGCAGCCGGCTGCCTTGGAAAAACTCCTCGGCCTACACACAAAAACACAATTTATGAACACACACACACACAAAAACACAAAAAGAATAAATTCAGAGCTGGATTAGAAATTATTTATATTTTAAGTTACCAAAGAAACTCAATAATACTGAAACTAATCTAAAATATACGACTTGTAGAGGAAGGTGCAGCCATCTCAGCCAAAATGTCTACAAGAATTCGCCAAATTTTAGGATGGACTAGATCAGATTACGGTAAATGAATAACACCTATTATGTATAAATTTACTAGTGTGTGAGTGTGTGTGTGTGTGAGACATAAAGTGGGACCTTAGGGTGTCGACAGGCATGGATCTGTGTCCTGCGGTCAGTCGTCACGTAGCTCAGGATCTCTGGCATCTTCGTGAACATGGCCAGACTCCTGACATGGATCTGAGAGTTTAATTAAACATGATATGTGAACAGTTGATTGTCCTGTAGCAGGAGATGTTTACAGATACTAGATTTGTGCATAAAAGGACATATATATATATATATTATAGTAGAGAAACGTGTGTGTACCTGTGTGTTGAACTCCTCTCCCAGGTTGGTAAACAGGTACTCGTATCCATACGCAGCTTTACAGTTGAGCCACACAACATGATATGGACTCTGACTGATCCAGTTTCCAACAAGCTCTAAGATACCGTTCAGACAGACCTCCTGCACAGACACACACACACACACACACTAAAATGATATTCTATAAACAGTCCAAAAGATATTAATTTACAACTGTAGTAAAATCAGGAAAGCACCTATCTGAGGAGCCTGAAACGAAGGATTTTGGCATTTTTTCTTAAATAAAATCACTCAAATCAATTAATTGTTGCTACGTTATATTGTTCAACTGACTTTATTTACTTGATTTAATTTCTTATTTGATTGCTTTTATTGCGTGCTATTATTTTTTATCCCGTGTTTATGTCTTTTCATTTTATTGTTGTATTTATATGTAATTGCACCTCATGTGAGCTGTTATGTCTTTTATTTATGATGTTTTATTATTCTCCGTAAGCACTTTGGTTGGTTTTAAAGTACTTAACAAATAAAGTTGGATTGGACTGGATAAAACAGTCCAGTTTACACAACCACATGCTTCTGAATTTACTGAATCAGTTTCATTTGATATTCCACAGCCATTAAATCCGGTTCCTTTCCCAAAACCGTACCCGAGTAGGAATTTGGTAGAATCGTGGGTCGTAGAAAGTTGAGTCCAGATAAATACTCTGAATATCCTTCACTCTGTATGTGAAACAGGGAAACACAAGATCAGCAAATACCATATCATATATAAGTGTTTCACATTTATAGCTTTGTATTTGTATGTTTACACATTATTATAATAACAATTAAAACAAGAGTCTGTGTTAACTGTCATTTAAACTCGATAAACAGTATTTTTTAGATGTACTTAAAGCTAAATTCTTCTAAATTCAGACATATTTAATAAATATCTGTGACTTTTCTGAAGAAATTACCAAATTCCTGTAGCATTTACTGTCTGGTTCTCCAGAACTTGATGTCTCTTGGTGAGACAGAAAACAGTGATGATGTTCATTCGGACCGACCTGCTGCCCGAGTGCAGATGTTCTATCCTCGAGGCGTCTCCGGCGGCCAACCTGAAGTCTCCCGTATACAACACGTTTCCCTGGGAACCCTCAAACAGGAACCTGCACACAGATACAAAACACATCGGACTTTGATTTTTCACATTAAGATGTTCAATTTTGAAGAATATAAACTTTTTTCTACACTTCCCACTGCAGAAACTTGTGTTTTCGCTGATTAACGCACATTGGAGCTCATTAAATCGTCACATTTTAAATAAGAGTCAACTCTCTTATAGGTAAAATGAAATGCGAACAGGCTTCGGTGCATCATGAAAAACTACCGGAGGTCTGAGGGGGAATACAGCTTTTGAAATAGACTAAAAAAAATGTGTTTTTACTGCTATGAGTGCTTCTTTTTCTTCTATGTTGTGTTGTGTCAACCTTTATCAACAAAAGACAATCAGGAAGAGTGGTAGGATGGTTTGACTTGCATTACAGAGCCGGGACAGTGGCCTGCGGGGAGTAACGTGACCACGAGATCTTCTTTCTGTCAAACAAACATAAGACAATACGTGTTTTTTTATTTTTATTTAAATTAACACAACTGATGAGCTACAATTACATGTCTGACTGTTAAAATCTTCAGTTTTTACCTCTCCGGATGCTTCGTCAACCAGAGAAATCTGCGTTGGGCTCTCCAGCTCTAAGGGAACCTAAAACAAATCATACATGGAGGAGAAAAAATGACTAAAAATCAACTTAAATAGAAATCAATCATGAGTCAAGTTGAAGAAAAACACTCAATATGAAGCCCAACAGCGTACAAACATCCCAGGGCTTCGTAATAAGCAGATAAATCTACTCTTAATTGGCGTTATTTGCGGTATTTAATGTCCCATCAGTAGACTTACAATGTATTCCTCCCAGAAAGCGTACTTGGGATTGCTCAGCAGAAGTTCCTTGGTCACAAAGGAGCAGTACAGCCTGACTGTGCGACTGGAAACAAAAGGATATAGAGTATTAAAAGCCGACAAGACACAGAAGAAAAAGAGCAAATTACAAGTGTTATGTCCTCTGTTTAAGTTTATTTATATGAGTTGAGTTAATGTCATACAGGTTATGCGTCTTATAATGTTTTAGTCATTGTAATTTGTTTTAAACCTCCCTGTTTATGCAACATATGCGTCATGAAATCATTACTTTAACTTACTTGTAATCTTTTTTATGGGTCAGAAATTCTGGATACACCTCCTTTAACAAGTTATTCATCTATTTTACAGTACAGAGGAGGGGATTTATTATCAAAATCTAAGTAAAAACGTTTCTTAAAGTGTTTATTTCTACTGATTTTTCATAAATAAAGTGGATTATTTTCTGCAAATGTGCCAACAATGAATACAGCGTTCAAAAAGTACATTTATACTTATTTTTTGGGGGGATTTCTACAGCTTAAACAGCATGTTATTTGTCAGTGCAAACAGTATCCCAGTAAGTGCCTTTAATATGTGAACTGGGTCAATTTAATACCCCAAAACTTCACCTGAACTCCAGTTTCCTCTTCAGTATTGGTCCTTTCAGTCCTTTCATGTGATCTGTTGAAAGGCGAGACGAAGACAGCTGTTGTTACAAACCTCTGTGACTCTTATTCAAGTCTCACAAACTAATATAAATATAACTTAAGAGACACACTAACTAATATATATATATATATATATAACTTAAGGTTTACCTTTGTGACAGTGGGAGAGGAAATATGCCCGGGAATGTAAGTTCTCCCGGTCGAACCGGTCCAGAGAAATGTTGGGATACTCTTTCATTCGGCCTGCAAATGAACTCATGTTTACGCCCAACCTTTTCGCGTTTGTAAATTAAATTAAATGTTATTATTTCCAGCCGAGAGAGGACATTTGTTTTTGTGTTAGCTCACATCTCCCACCAATTTCAGTTTCTTCTTTGTTTGCTTTTTTTTTATTTTACAGTTCAGGTGCATTGACCGGGCATTACCGCCACCTAACGGTCAATCTGTTTTTTGTGGTTTTTTTTCCACAACTAACCCCCGTTGTTAAAAAAAAAATAAAATAAAAAATACACGCAGTTTATACGCTTTGTTTTCTATCATTTTCTTCAAAACACAGGATTAATAACGCAGATAAAAGTGCTTTAAAGTGCAGTTTATTCATTGTTTCCGACCGTTGGCGCCATCTCCTGGAAGCAAGAAAGCCCCCGTAACCAGGCAACCGAAGAGAAGCTAGTAACAGAGACGGTTGAGAAACGAGACACTTCGGTTAAACTTACCATCGTTTGTTAACCGGCGCCCGAAGCGAAAAGCAACTTATTTTACCAAAAAAACCATTGTAAGTAAGCTGTTGCCTGTCTTTTTTTTTACTAAATAATGTGCAAATGTGAGTACTGGAGGCTGTGAGTTGATCTCAGTTGATTCTCGGGCAAATCAGGGGTTATTTTTCACCTTTGTAGCCCGACGCGAGCACGAAACTCGATTCAAGAATATCGCATTTTAAAGTGTCAACTGTTAAATATCTAATTTATAGATAGATACACGTCTTTTTTTAGATCTCCTACATTGTTTTAGGGTCTAATCTTTAATTCGGCATACATTGCAATGCAAATATCACTTTTTATGACCATAAAATGTCCATCTAACGTGAATACCAGAGCATCTTTAATGTGCATTGTCCCAATAAGTGTGTTTATTGATTCTTATTATTTACTTTGCCTGTTTAAATGTGAACCCCCTGTTACAGAGTGCACAGTAGAGTCTGTTTTTGTGCTATACTGTATACTTTAAATCACTTTAAGGCCTTTTTTTTCTCGTCCTCTCTCAGATACCAACCAGGATTGAGCAGGATTTTTAAAAAAAAACCTGTGAATTTTACTCTGATCTTTCAGTTTCTCCACCATGTCTGACAACAACTCCAAGCCGAAGTCCATGAGCAGAGCGAAAGGATGGACGGCCGATGTGGAAAACCTATTCAGATTCCAGCAGGCAGGCTACAGAGATGAACTGGAGTACATACAAGTCAAACAAGGGGCCTTGGTGAATATTGTGATCTAGTTAAATGTGTAAATTCAGAAACGGGATCACTGTTCGTCACCATTTTTCCTTATTAAAACACAGTTTTTTAGGGATTTTTTGGGGGGAAATCGCAAGGCTGGTGTATCAAAGTCAGTCAAAGTCAGCTTTATTGTCAATTACTTCACATGCACCAGACGTTTAAGGTAATCAGACATATTCCTAATACTAAAAAGTAAACATTCAATTACACAACAGACAAGACATTTACTAATGCTAAAAGATAAAAAAAAGATAGACAATAAAATATAAAAAATACAATAATATACAATACTTATGGTAGTGCAAAAAAGAAAAGTGAAACATTATAGTAAATATATGTTATAAACTAAATAATAAACACACTTACACTAAAAAAAAGAGACAATTTTAGTATTTGAGGTCCTGATTTTTCAGTACACAAAGAAACAAATGTTATGAACTCAATTTTCTAACTTATAACATACGATTAGTATAATTTACCTTGGTCCGTATGTTTTTAAGGTATAAAATGATTGTCAGGCTTATTTTACGCAAGATTTTTTAAAACGTATGAGAATTAAATTGTGTCTCATTTTCTGTTTCTGTCTCAGATCGACAAATGGCCAGAGACCGGCTTTGTGAAGAAGCTCCAGCGTCGAGACGACACGTTTTATTACTACAACAGGAAGAGGGAATGTCAGGACCGGGATGTCCACAAAGTCAAAGTCTACGCATATTGATAGTGTGCTGGACTTGTGATACGGATACTTTAATGAAGAAATATGACCACTGTGTTTTCAGTAAATGGATTTTAAACTGCAGAGCTGATGTGGGATTTTGTTTTCCATGATTATTCCCCTGCATGGTTTATTGTTAAAGGAATAGCTCACCAAAAAGTCTCCAATTCTAACTCTACATGACTGTTAATACACTAAAAAGCTCAGAATTTAAGCTCTCAGGGATAAAAATGTAACAATATGAGGTAAATGTTGGACTTTCGGACTACAAATACACAGAAAAATGGTAATTTACCTTCTTTATCAAACATATTATGCTCATTACATCAGTAATTTCATGAGCCACATGGTCTAATGAGGAGAGATTTCATGCCCACTCACTGTAACATTCATTCGCTGTTTAAAAATCTGACTGAACTTATCATACTCTCCTCATGTGATGGTTAACATGAGGGGTGGGATTACTATTTACCCCCACCAGCTCTCAGATATCAGGTGGCCAGATCAAGGACATATCGCTTTATTGAGCTGTCTGGCAAAAGAGAGATTTATGCTTTATTATCTTGTAATTATAAATAATAAGTTGACCTCATTGACTCACACCACAGACAGCAAAGTAGGTGAGTGATGCAAAATTACATTATAGGCTACTTACTCACATTATCTTCTTTTAATGTATTTAAGGCCAATTTAATGTATTTTTTATAAAAGTAATGTTGGTTATTAAGTCACATAATAAAATTTGGGTTACATGTACAGTTTGAGATTCTCACACCAAACTCCATTCAGAATTATGACAATTTAATTTTTCTTTTGCAAGTTTTTAAAGCTACTGCGCATGTTAAAGTAAAATAAAAAAAAGCACCAGAAGTGACTCGAAGTTGAGCATTTAATGTAAGTTTACAAGAAAACAGCTGAAAACATTTAATGCGCAGTCAGTCCTAGAAAAACAGCCAAAAGTCTTTCAACCAAACCCAGTTCAAAATATTGACGATTTAGCGCTCAGTAAGGTACCGCGCATACATCGTTATTATCCTTTTAATAACTGCGCCAGGGGATCGTTTTCTTCACCTCGGGTCCAACAAAATCTAGCATTACCAAAACACTAAACATAAAAGATAAAATAAACAATAAAAAAACGGTTCTTCCCGTTCACAACCGCGCTGTTAAATGCCTCGATTTTTGAATGAAGTCTGGCGGGCCGCGTAGCGCGTCGGCTCAACGTGAAGTGAACTCGCCTTTAACAGCTTGAACCGAGGCTACCGGGCTTATTCCCTTTAATTCATCCTCGACCCTGCTGCTCGGCTGCTTTTTTTTTTTTACTGAAGTTATGTTTCTCGGTGGGAGTCGAGACAGGAGCTGTGAGGCAAGTGTGCTTTTAAAACCAAAAGAAAGTGGGGGAAAGTCCACTCCTTTTACTCGCTCTTGTAATGTTTTGGTTGTTCTCTCTCAGGTTTACTGGCTGTCTGGGATGGTTAGCTTCAGTCGCTAGCTGCAACCTGCTTTAGAGTTGGCCTTGTGAAGAAGAAAAAGCTCAGTGTTATTGTCTTATTATCTTATTTATAGATAATATATAATGTGTGTTGTCGGTTTATTTCTCCACCTGCTTGGTTGTGTGGCGTTTCAGCTCTGGCAGTGAACTTAACGCTGCTAACAGATCGGTTAAAGTTAAAGGTGTTTTTGCGTGGCCATTGCTAGCGAGGTTAACCTATTTACCAATCAAGATAATCGATAATGCAGCGAGATAACAGAAATGCTATGCGGTTGTCATGTTGGTTTGTTGGTTTGTTGACATTCGTGTGTTGTTTTGCTGTTGATTTTAATCTCTTAACCGCCCCACCAAAAAAAAAAAAACACCAAAAAACTGGACTGGAGCCAGTTTTCTGTCTCCTTTTTTCCTTTAATGGCTCTTATAAATGTTTAATTTTAATGCACATTATGGGCAGCTTGTTTGCACTGCTCCCAGGGATGGGATTGAACCGTGTTGACATGCATAGACAGGGAAAGTGGTTGGATCACATGCCAAATACACCCTCAAACCAGGGTGTTTGAACTGTAAAGTACAAGTAAATGCAAGTAAATGATCTTAATCTTAATACAAGTGTGTATTTATAAGAATGTGTTGATTAATTACACAGAAAATGAGGCAAATATGAGAGTAAATATGAAGTTTTATAGTAGTAAAATGG